AGTATAGTTTCAAGTCAGGAATTGTAATGCCCCTTGCCTTGCTTTTGTTCCCCAGAATTTTTTTTGCTATTCTAGGTCTCTTATGGTTCCAAATGAATTTTAGGACTATTTTCTCTATTTCTGTGAGGTATGCTAATGTTATTTTGATTGGGGCTGCATTAAATTTGTACAATAATTTTGGGAGTATGGCCATTTTCACAACGTTGGTCCTTCCTACCCATGAGCAGGGGATATCTTTCCATTTTCTGATATCTTCTTCAATCTCTTTTTTCAATATACTGTAATTTTCAAAGTATAGCTCTTTTCTTCCTTTGTTATATTGATTCCTAAACATTTTATTTTTGGGATGCAATTGCAAAGGATGTTGTTTCTCTAATTTCTCTCTGAGCAAGTTTGTTATTTGTGTGCTATTGACCTTTGAGTGCTATTGACCTTTGAGTGCTGATTTTGTATCCAGCTACACAACTGAATTTGGTTATTAAATCTAGAAGCCTTTTGGTGGAGTCTTTGGGGCCTTTTATGTAGAGTATCATGTTATCTGCAAATAATGATAATTTAAATTCTTTCTTTCCTATCCTTATTCATTTTATTTATCTCTCTTAATTGCTCTGGCCAATGTTTCCAGAACTATATTGAATAGGAGTGGTGAGAGTGGACATCCTCATCTTGTTCCTGATTACAGAGTGAAAACTTTCAGGTTTTGAACACTTACTATGATGCTGGCTGTTGTTTTGTCATAGATGGCTTTTATCTTTATTAAGATAAAGACTATCTATTTCCATTTTCTGTAGGTTTTTATTAGGAATGTGTACTGGACTTTTTAAAACACTTTTTCTACTTTTTCTGCATCTACTGAAATGATCACATGGTTTCTGTCTTTGGCTCTGTTAATATGGTGTATTATATTTATTGATTTGCATATGTTGAACCATCCCTGCATCCCTGGGATGAATCTTACTTGGTCATGGTGTATAATCTTGATGATTTGCATTCTGTTTGTCAGTATCTTATTGAGGAATTTTGCATCTATGTTCATTAGGGAGATTGGCCTGTAGTTTTCTTTTTCATTTGAGTCCTTCTCTGGTTTTGGGAAAAGGGTTATACATGCTTCCAAGAATGATTTTGGAAGTATTGCTTCCTCCTTTCAATTTCATTGAAGAGTTTCAGCATTGGTGACGTTAAATCTTCTCTAAATTTCTTGTAGAATTTAGCAGTGAGTCCATCAGGGCCTGGGCTATGCTGTGTTGATAGGTTTTTATTACATTTTCAATTTCATTGACTGATATTATGTTGCTTACAATTTTTATATCTTCTTGATTCAGTTTTGGCAATTCATATGTGTCTAAGAATCTGTCCATTTCTTCTACATTTTCCATCTTATTAGAGTATAGGTTCTTAAAGTAGTTGTTGATGATCTTCTGGATTTCTGCAGGAGCTACTGTGATTTCACCCATTTTGTTCCTAATTGCTTAAATCTGAGTCTTTTCTTTGCTATTTTTGTTAAAGTTAGCTAGGGGTTTATCAATTTTATTTAATTCTTCAATGAACCCACACTTTGATTCATTGATTCTTTGTATTGTTTTCTCAATCTCAATTGTGTTAATTTCTGCTTTTATCTTTATAATTTCCTCTTTGTGTGAGCTTTGGGTTTGATTTCTTCTTCTTTTTCTAGAAGTTTGAGGTTCAATATTAAGTTGTTTATTTAAGCCTGTTCTGTTTTCCTAAAGCGAGAACTCACCATCATAAATTTCCCTCTTAGGACACTTTTATTGCATCTCATAAGTTCCAGTGTGTTGTATTGGCATTATCATTTAATTGTAGGTACTGTTCAATTTCTTCTTTAATTTCTTCTGTGACCCATTGGTTGTTCAGGAAGGTGTTGTTTAATTTCAATGTGTTTATGTAATTTTTTGTGGTTTTTTTTGCCATTGATTTTCAATTTCACTGCATGAGGTCAGACAATATGTATGGCATAATTTCAATTCCTCTGCATTTTCTTAAGCACATTCTATGGGCTAACATGTGGTCTACTTTGGAGAATATCCCATATGCAGCTGAGAATAATGTGTATTCTGATGTTGTGGGGTGGAACACTCTGTAGACATCTACAAAGTTTGTTTGTCCACAGATTTATTTTAAATCTGATATATCTTTGTTGATTTTTTTGTCTAGTTGATCTATCTAGTTGTGAGAGTGGGGTATTAAGTCTAACCATTACAATTAACCATTACAATTGTTAACCATTACAATTGTTTCAGTGCTTATGTGATATTTCATGTCTGTTAATACTTGTTTTATGTTTTAGTGCTTATTTGATATTTCATGTCTGTTAATAGTTGTTTTATGTAATTGGGCAAGTAAGTCTTCCCTTAACAAGTATGTAATGACCTTCTTTGTCTATTTTGATCAGTCTTGGCTTAAAGTTCACTTTGTCTGCAAATAGAATAAGTATCTCGGTTTTTTTCTGGGATTCTGTAACATGGAATGTCGCTTTCCATTCTTTGACTTTTAGTCTATGAATTTCTTTTTTTTTTTGAGGGGGTGGGTTCCAGTACTGGGAATCGAACTCATGATCTTGTGCTTGCCAGGCAGGCACTGTGCTGCTGAGCTAAATCCCCAGCCCCTAGTCTATGAATTTCTTTTTGAGGTAAATATGTTTCTTGAATGGATCTTGTTGGATCATGCTTCTTTGTCTCCTTCTCCTCCTCCTCCTCCTTCTTGTTCTCCTTCCCCTTCTCCTCCTCCTCTTCTTCTTTTTCTTCTCCTTCTCCTTTTCTCCTTCTCCTTCTCCTTCTCCTTCTCCTTCTCCTTCTCCTCCTTCTTCTCCTTCTTCTTCTTCTTCTTCTCTTTTTGAGACAGGATTTCACTATGCAGTTCAGGCTCACATTCTAGCCCAGGTTACTCTTAAACTCGCAGCTATCCTCCTGCCTCAGTTTCTCAAGTGCCAGGATTGCAAGCATGCACCACCACACTTGGTAAATCTTGCTTCTTGATCCATTCTGCTAGTCTGTTTAGTTTTCCTTTTTTGATTGGTGCACTGAGACCATTTGCATTGATGGTTACAGCAGATATGTATTGGGTTATCTTTGTCATATTATTTTTCTGTTTTCTATATTTACCCTCTGTTTAATTTCTTGGCTAGTGTCTTCTTTCTGTTGGTGTTCTTCATTTTCTATGTCTAATATATCCTTCAGAGCATTCTGAAGAGCTGGTTTGGTGGTCATGAATTTCTTCAGTTGTTCTTTATCATGGAAGTATCTTATCTCTACATTGATTTTGAAAGATAGTTTTGAGAGATACATCAATTTGGATTGGAGGTTGTTTTGCTTTAAGGCTTGAAATACCTCACCACAAGCTCTCTTTGATTTGAGTGTTTGTGTTGAGAAGACTGACATAATTCTGATGAGCTTTCCTTTATCAGTGATTTGTTTCTTTTCTCTAACAGCTTTTGATATTCTGTTCTTGTGCTGAATTTCTAGAATCTTATACAGACTTCTTCTGGTCATGGCTGTTTGGAGTTCTCTATGTTTCTTTCATTTGTATATCAAATTCTTTATCCATGTTTGGGAAGTTTTCTGCCATTATTTCTCTGAAGAGGTTTTTTATGGCATTTGTGCTGTCTCTAGCTTTTTCATAGACTCCAATCAGTCTTATGTTATTCTTCTTTGCTTTGTCTTGCACCTGTTGGATTGATTTTTCATGGTCCCTTGCTATTTTTAAGATATCTTTCTTTGCATGGTCACTAGCAGCAATCATGTCTTCTAGATCTGAAATTCTATCCTCATTTTCATTCAATGTGTTGCATACATTATCAGTGGAGATTTTAATCTTTTGTATTTCTGTTTGGATCTGTTTAATAGATTCCATTTCTTTCCTATGTTGGGCATTCATGGTTTCCATCATTTTCCTCAGCTCTTCTTCTTTTTTTCTTAAATCTGTGTCTGCTTTAATGTCTTTTATTTTAATCATCATTTCTTTTGTATCTGAGAAATTATTTTTTATAGCCTCTTCCACATGTTTTTTTTCACTTCTGTTGCTATCATTTCAGAAAATCCCAGTGCTTAGTTTCCAATTTCTTTTTTGTCATTGTGCTCTGGACTTGTTCTTAGTGGATTGGGGCTCAGGGTTTCATTTTGCTTCTGCATCTTTTCATTTTCTCTTTTCTATTTTTCATTTTATTTTGTTTTCTGTGTTGCCAATTTCTTATGATAGAAATCTTTATCACTAGTATTGAGGCTTCCCTAGGAACTGTCTGTTCCTCAGGGATGTCTTCTAGATGTAGGTGGTTCTTGTTCTTTTTGTTTATCCCAATAACCTGCCTTCCCAATTTATTAAGAATGAGAAGTCCCTATCTATTTGGTGCAGCACCCAGTCCTTTGGTACTGGACTCTGGTGATGGTTATGACCCCATACAATCACAGTATCATCATACATGGGAAAAAACTGATTATAATATTCATGACATCCTGGTAAAGTAGTACAGTGAGCAAAGACAATAGCATCAAGTATAGCCTAACTAATGACAAACTGTGGTAACTATTAGCCTGATATCTTTAACCACAGGAGCAGATTCTACAATAATATAATAAAATCCAACCTATACCAGGAACTTATACACAATGATTTTCTCCTTAGCAGAGTGATTTTACCCTGTTGTGTGGGAGGGAGTATTTAAGAGGGATGGGGGATAAGATAGAGGAATGAGGTCAACTATAGTAAATGCAAAGCTAGAGGGCAAAAGATGATCACCCAAATTTTGGGAAATTGGCAGATACAGGAGAGAAAGAATGAAAGAGATAGCAGAGTGCTGAAGTGAACCAGAAAGGGAAAGACAATGTTCTCACATGAAAATATCACAAAATCAAGAGCAGTAGTTGAGGACAGAGGGAGAAAGAAGATGAATAAAAGAACAAAAAAGAAAGGTAAAAAACCTAAAAAGTGAAAAGAGAAAGAAAATGAAAAGAAAAAACAAAATAACCACACACAAAAAAACAGAACAAAACAAAACAAGCCCAATGAGACAGAAAAAGGAAAACCAATCAGACAAACAAAGAAAAATAAAAGCAGTAAAATCCCTCTCATGTCCACAGTTCCGTGCTAGGGTCCAAGTCAGATCCAAGAAAGGTGCTGTGTTCTCCAGCCAAGTTTGCCAGGGGAATTGTGCTGGGCATAGGGCTGATCTTGGCCTCTGGATGTGGGGCTTGGGACTGGTCTTCTGCTGCTAGTGCTCTCCCAGAGCACTAGGAGTGGTGGCCTTGCTCACCCTCCTTCTTCTACTCTGCGTGTCTGTGCTGGAGCACAACACTGCTTCACCTAATTTACCAACCACTGGCTTGTACTCTCACTGCTGCTTCACACTTCTGTATGCCACTGGTCCCACCAGCCTGCATATGTGCCTGCACCCAGGCTGTTCTCTGGCTGGTCCCCTAGAACAGATTTTTTGAAAAACATGATTCAATGATATGGTTTCCATTAAACACACAGTTTATATTTAAATACACCAGATGACTGAAAGTTAAGGGTGGAAAGAGATGTACTACATAAGCAGTAATCAGAAAGAGCTAAGGTAATGACACTAAGATTAACCAAACAATTTAAGACAAAAATTGTTCTAAAGACAAGGAAGGTCATTTTATAATTATAAAATGGTCAATTCATCAAGAAGATGTAATGATTACTAGCATTTATGCACACAAGAATTTGAAATAAACCTTAAAGAGTCAATATTTTCTTAGATAGCCTTTTATCATATCACTGTTTATTGAAATGTCTTTGTCAACCAAGAAATAACCCCAACATATATGATGTGAAAACAAGCTTTAAAAAAGAAATAGATAATCGATAACAATATTTAGAGACTTCAATGTCTCAGTTTCACTAACAGATTGAATATCTAGTCATAAGATCAACAAAGAAATACATTTTAACAGTACTGTATATCAACTAAACTAAACAAATACCTATAAAACACTGTACTAAACAATAGCAGAATATACACTTTTCTCAATACATATGGAACATCCCCCAGGGTAGAGTATATCTAGGGCTGTAAAAAAAGTCTCAATAAATTTAAAATTATTAAAATGATAGAAAAAATGAAAATATATTTCTAATGGAGTGAAATTATAAATCAAGAGGAGAAAGGTATTTGGAAAATTCACAAATTGGTGGAAATTTAAATAACACACTTGTAAATAACCAATGCATTGAAAAAAACACAAGGGAAAGTGGAAAATACTTTGAAAACAAAAATACAACATTGGTGATCCTTGAAGATGCTGAGGGCCTATTTTACATGTACCATGTTCTCTTTTTTCCGCATATAGGCCTCCTTTCAAGAGCTCTCAGGATATATAACCTTGAACTTCCACTGATTGAATCATCTACCAGGAGAGTATAGATTTTGTGCTGATACAGTCCCGAAATGAAAACGTCCATAAGTAACAAATAGGTAAGGGCTATAAATTAACTTTGGCTCCTCTGGGGTCTGCCTCACCTGTTTTTCCTCTGAAGAGGAGTAGCTTTCTCTCTCAGCCTTGCTATCTCTGGTAGAGGACAGAAATACACAGCAGAAATATCTACTTCACAGGCACATTTCCATGCTTAAAATCTTGAAAGATGGGGTTTTCAAGAGTTTAAGGTTACTACTGATCCATATATGATATGCTTTCTGTCTCATTTCTGGTCTGGCCCTTCCCTTTTGCCAAATCCCGCTACCTCCCTATATTTGTAACCACCCTGAACCCACCCCATGTTCTGATTCAAGTTCTTCCTAGAATCTCCCTCCCCCACCTCATTAACCAAACTTTTACTCACTTGTTAAAACTCAGACCAGAGTTTCTTCTCCAAAGCTCAGGAAGCACTTCTTAGGAGTAAGATACTCTTAATCCCTCATACATCTTCTCTTTCTGTGCACTGCATGATAGAAATGATTACTGCAGAGAAGACATGGAAATCATCACAGGGAACCCCACAAATTTGCATTTCCCTATATTTTCTTCAATCTTGGAAGGTCAAGAGAGGGAAGTGGTTTGCCCCAGGACTTTTGGCTAGTTACCAAAAAAGCTGAGGCTGGAGGTCAAAACTAATTCTCTGTTCTTTGCTGATGTCCACTGGGTACTTCCTGGGACCCGACTCATTGTGTATCTTATATTCATGCAAGATCTCCTGGATTTTCTCAAAGCCAGTGCATTTTGCAGGGCCTAGTAGGATGGTAAGATTGGAGGGTTTGTTGGTTCCTAGACGGTGCACTGGAATAGGCACGTTGGTTTCCAGGTTTATGGATAATACTTGGGGTCACACTATAAGCTTCTGGAAGGCTAAATAACAGGGAAAAGAATGCGATCTTTGGGATCAGACAGTCTTGAGTGAACCTACCATTTACCAGTTTTAGAACTTTAGGAAAATAAACTTTCCAAGCTGTTTCCTTATGTAAACTTTTTAAAACAAGTGAATGATATTTTTATCAATATTGAGATTACCTTAGTAAATCATGAAACACAAAGTCTGGCGTATAATAAGCGCTCAGTTAATACATTACTTCCCTTGGCCCCAGACTGATCCCTTGTCTCTTCTCAGGCTTGGGACTCTAATTTTACTTAATCAAGACAAGCTCCCTTAGCCAAAGTTTCTCCAAATGTAAGGAAGATGGAACTAATTACATGACTTCTGCACCCCAAATTGTAGTTTATTTCTACTTCTGTTTTTATCAATCTTTTCAATCTGATCTATGGAATAAGCACAAAGCCTGCCCATGGTGGGACCTGAACATCAGAGGCATTGCTTTCAGAGGAAGTAGAGGGGGTTGGGACACAACCTGGGGAGATGCAAATTTGGTGGTCAAATAGGACTTCCCTGGGTCTGATGACTTCCAAGATGCCTCAGAGATATAATTCCAGTGATGATACAAAGAGAAAGGACCAGTCCCACCTCAAAGAATAGCTACAATCAGTATATTCATTCCACAAACATTTTACTGCTTACTGTATGTCAGGCCTTCAACTGAACATCTCCCAAGCTAGGAAACTAATCCTATGTTCCACACTTTGCCCTAAAGCTTCTCTGCCTCCTATACCTCCTTTCTCAGAGAGGAGGCAAAATCAGGTCACAGGATACAGGTCACACATCCTGTTACCTAATGCTAATCTTCACCTGTCTTCATGACCTAATTGAGCTTCTGACTCACCTATAATCTTGTTTATCTTTGGGGACAGGATGCCTGTAGGCCAGATGTTCCTTTTTAAGTGAGCTAGCTGTAACTGGTTGGATCCAAGATGGCTGCCAGGGTGACTGCCGATAACTTTTGATTTCATTATAATCCCATCTGCATGCTAAAAGACACCTCACCCCCAGGACTATAACAGTTGACAACTGTCATGAAGACTACCCAGAAGGAATCGTAAAAAGAGATGGCATAGGAATTTCCTAAAAATCTCCACCCATTCCAACAAAAGTCAAAAATATTATTCCCCTTTATTAGCCTCATAATCCCACTCATTTGATTTATCCTGTATATATAATTTCCCAATCTCTGATAGGTCAAGAAGTTGATTTGTGAGTTTCATCTCCCACCTCAATTCTTGCTTAGTTGACATTTGGTCTGTTTAGTGATTCCACAACTCCAAGAGACAAAAAAGGATCCAGTTTGGAATCCAAAGCTTGTAACAATACCACCTTCATATTATTATATAGTTCTATCAAATCCACTTATGAAATAACTCTCCAGTGGACCTCCTTCTCTCCCACGTGATTAGACCATCTTTAGTTGAGACAATTATTTCTTCCAACCAGGTCCAAATCTCTAGCTCTGCTAAATCTCTTCTGCACAGTTTCCAAAGTAATCTTTCTAGAGCACAAACACGAACAGGTCACTCATCTACTTAAAACTTTTGATGGCTTTCATCAAGGCATGAATGCCTTTACAAGAATGTGTTGAACTAATTGCATGCAAAAGGTGCTTTAGGTCCACTGGGAGGAAGGATACTGTGTCTTGTGGAAAGGCCTCAAATTACTAGATGATGTGTCCTTAGTAAGAATGAATGAAAAACAATTCAAACAAAGTAGAAGAGAAGAGGAGCTGGGGATTTAGCTCAGCGGCAAAAGCGCCTGCCTGGCAAGCGCAAGGTCATGAGTTCGATTTCCGGTACCAGAGAAAAACCAAAAAAAAGAGAAGAAAACTAGCAAATACTGAGTGCCCACAATGTATCAAGTACTTTGCTTTATATACACTGTTGTTTTAACACTCAAAAAATACTGTATGAGAGATCTTCCTCAAGAAACAGATTTCACATGAGATAGAGATTTGGATGCAAACAAGTTAGTTGGGGAGTGCTTGGAAATCAATCCACACCCATGGGGAGTGAAGGAAATACCATAGGACTGAGCAGAGGGAGAAGTTGAACTGTGGATGTGGTTATAACAAAGACCTGTGCTGACTTCATGAGGATCTCTGGAGCTGGTCTGACCCTGAGAGCTCTTCTAAACTAAGGCAAGGAGACTGGACTTCTATAGCCTTCCCTCCACCAAGTGACCAGTTGTTGGGTGTAAGTTGCCCTGTAGTAAGTGGCTGAGAACAGTTCCTGAGAGCTATTAGCTGCTAATCCTTCTGGCATGGAAGAACAATTGGTTTGTCCTGAGGGAGGATCTGAGCAGCACACTTCAGCATCCACTATACAAGGTAATTTATAGTACACTATTCTATAGATAAAAAACAAACTTACCTAGCTCATACATAATGAAGTCCCTGTGCTTCTAATGCATACTTGTCCTCATGCTTCTTTATCTCTATTTACTTCTGCAATTAAAACTTCATTGGTTTAAAAATTTCCTTAACATAAAGCTAAATTTGAACCCTCAGGTACTTTGCATGGCAGTATAAATTGTCACGAACTTTAATCCTTCAAGGAAGAATTAGAGCTGTATCTATGGTCCCAAGTCGATAGGGGTCACTTATGAACAGACAGTGAAAATATCAAGGCCTATGGGGCCAACTCAAGACCAGGAGAGCAGAGCTATGCTCATAGCAGGCCCAGGATGGGTCTTTTAGGAGATTGCCAGCTTTATACAAGCCTGTCAACAAGGCAGCAACTATAGATCAGGGCTGACAGAGTTGAAAGTGGGAGATGGGGAAGAAGAGAAAGCCTAAGATTAAGACAAGGAGGGGCTGGGGATTTAGCTCAGCGGCACGGAGCCTGTCCGGCAAGCACAAGGTTGTGAGTTCAATCCCCGGTACCGGAAAAACAAACAAAAAGATTAAGACAAGGGCTGTTCCTAAGACCACAGGAAAGACTTAAAGGAAGTCAAGAGTCAAAAGGTCCCTAATGATAAGCAGATTAGGATAAGGGGCACTAAACCCAGAAAGAGGTGATTAAACTAGTGCAAAGAGCTACAGTTATTCTCTTTTCCTGGTTTCTTCTTACCCAGGCTTCTTGCCTCGGGTATTAAAGGTCTGGATAACAGCTTTACTAAACAACACATACCAGGGCCATGGTGGTGTGAGGTGATAGAGTTTATCTTCAAGTGCTGCTTCTGATATTTATTGACTGTCTGCTTTCAGGCACACTACTTAACTTTCTAAGCCTAACTGTGCTCATCTGTGAATTGAGAATAAGGTTAGATCTGATGCAGAGCACGTGGGTGAGACAAGCTGTAGAGCTGTAGAGTTCTCATATCCTTCCACTCCCATGATCAAGAAAATTAAACTAAGAACCCAGGCTTATACAGTAAATTCTTGTAGTTTCAGGTGTTCACCAAGTAATATAGAAAGCAACTAGACTGCTTGTCTTTTTCCCAGTCCTCTGTCCCAGAGTAGGTCTTTTCTTCTGCATGAGAGTCTTGCTCAGGAGGAAAAGTAGATGCTCTGGGATACAGAGAGAATGTCTCTGCAGAAATCCCTCCTGGTAGTTTTGGCTGGAGGGAACACCAAGAAAGACAGCTGGGTCTCAGGATACCACCCAAGCACACAGCATTTAGTACACTATATAAGGCCCAGACAAGACCAGGCTCCAACATTTTACTGGCTTTTATCTGGGAACTCAGAGAAATGAGCCATCCTTCTTAAAGACAGTATAACAGAAATAAAGGCCTTTTTCTTTCCAGTATTGGGGATTGAACCCTAGGATATTCTGCTGCAAAGTTATACTCCTGCATTCCCCACCCTGCCACAAGGTAAAATCTCACTAAGTCATCAAGGCTGGGCTCAAGCTTGCAAATCTTCCTACCTTGCCCTCTGGAATAGCTGAGATTACAAGCAAGTCTTCTTCTTAATTGACTTCCTCACTTCCAGAAAAATTTCTTAAGATGGAACCTACTCCTTGTTTTACTTTTATTATTTTGCTTAACAAAACAAAGTTTAGAAAAAAAATAAAACTAAATGAGGAAGGATTTGTCTCTGAGTATGGTTTTTATGTCTTTTACCTCGTAGAATGCCTGCTAAAACTTGACATTTCAAAACTCTCCCAATCTCCATTTATTCTTTTTTCAAGGCAAGATAATAAACATAATATTCTCTAAGAAAGTCCTCTTGATAAAACAGCAGCATATCATGCATTTTACATATTATGTTAAATAAAAAAGAACACAAAATTGTGTGCATACTAGTGATTTTAATTGTCGATTTGTCTCTGGAATACGTAGCCCATTGAGGCAAGAAAAACCTTCATGTAAGGCACTGCTAGGTAAAGGGTACTTGCATCAGCATCTTCAGTGTAACTGCTATTTGGAATTAGCCCAACTATCAGCTGTTTAGTTATGATGATACTCAGAGCATTTTTTACTTAAAACTTCATAATACAGAAAAAAATTGACTCCATAGATGTTTTGTTAAAATGGGCAATCCTTGCAGTTGTCATGCCTTGTGATTTTGGTGTTGACTTCAAATCCACACTTGGATTTTGTGAGACTGGACCAAGTGTGGCTAAGGTTTTAGCTCATATCTTCATTCTGCTTTACATTTTCTGTTATGACTCACATTTTATTCTATCATCTCTATTCTGTATTATGTACTGATACTTTAATTTAAGAAATATGATTATCCATCCCCAAAATATTCAATTCCTTTATAACAGGACTTTTCAGAACTTATTATATAAAATCCATCTTCCTGTGTTCAATTGTTAAAAGTTCTTAAGGGTCATTAATATACTTCTGTTTTTAATTTATGATGCAAAGTTATTGTTGTTTCTTATAGAGATACCCAGGGGTTACATTTATTTGTGGGGTTCCTGAAGCATTCTGTTGTTCCACATCTCTGAGGATATCCTTGACACTGATCACATGGTAGTGTTTCTTGTACCTCCTTATGACATGAGATTCATCATGTAATCACACATGTCTACCTGTAGGTAATGATAAAAATAATGGGCACTGTATTCATCAACTTTCCCTTTTCTTGGACACAATATATGACACACACAATTTAATGGAGGAGAGGTGTCATTTAGCTCACAGTTTTAGGGGATTCAGTTCATGAATTCAAAGTAGAAAACATCATGCCAGAAGGGATTGGTTAAGCCAAGATGCATTGGGTATGGAAGCCAGGAGGCAAAGCAGTGAAACAGTGCCAGAGAACAAGGAGCCAGGGACCATATATAGTATCCAAGGTCAAGCCTCTATGACTCAGTCAGACATATACAGAATCGTGCTTTACTTATCCTCCAGGCTGTTCCCAAACCAATCAACTTGATACTGTTAAACATAACCACCAAAGACACCATGTATACAAGTTACCACATGTTAGGCACTGGGCCTAACACCTTATATATATTCATGTCATTTAGTTCTCCCAGCTGTTCTATGAGATAGTTCCTTATCTTAAGGAATCATCTGTAGCCCATGAGGAAAAAAGAGATTAAATATCCTGCCCAATGTAACCTGATTTATAAATACTAGAGTAGCAAATGGAACCCAAATCTGTTTGACTATGGAGACAAAGTTCTAAACCATAAATCAGAGTTCTGTCTATGCTGCCTTATAAACAAAGGTTTGGAGCTTTACAAACTTGGAAGAAATTGTGACAAGATTAGAAAACTATGAAAGGTTACATCTTCTTTCTTCTGCTTAATTTTTATTCTACATTGTATTATAGCTGCAATTTTAAAGAAGAAGCGACATCATATAGAGATCTCCGGAGACAATCTATAACATATGGAAAGATTTTTAAATGAGACAATGGCTCACGAGATTATGGAGACTGAGAAGTCCCATGATCTGCCATGGCAGCACAGGAAAGCCAGTGGTATAATCCCAGCCTAGGTCCAAAGCCTGAGAACCAGGAAAGCTAATGATGAAGTCCAAATGCAAGGGCAGGAAGTGAGAGGACGTCCCAGCTCAAGCAGGCAGTCAGCAAGTAAATGGGGTGAATTCTTCCTTCCTCCCCCTTTTATTCTAATCAAGCCCTCAGTGGGTTGCATGATACTCATCCACATTAAGTAGGTGACCTACTTTATGGAGTCCACCGATTCAAATGCTAATGTCATCCAGAAAACCCCTCAGGAACACCCAGAAATAATGTTTAATCTGGCTACCCCATGGTGACATCAATTTGACATGAAGTTAAACATCACAGAACAGAACTGTGATATTAAAAAACCCAACTCCTGAATATCTACTTCTTAACTAGAAATGTTATCTAATAAAGTCATTCAAGTGGTTGATAATTAGATGTGTTACACCTCATCAGTAGGACTGTATCATGAAAGGAGTTTTAGAGTCATTCATTGTATTTTAAGTCATCACATTATATATAAACCAATATGTTTTGAGCCCCAAATTGGCTTATTTATTCATTTATTTATTTATACTTTTTTTCTGATTTTTTGGGACAAGGGTTCACTAGATAGCTTAGGCTGACCTTGAACTCACTAAGGAGTCCAGGCTTTGAAATTGTGACCCTCCTGCCTCAGCCTCACAAGGACTGAGATTACAAACAGATGCCACAATGTCCAGCTGAGTTCTTATATTTTTTCATAGTGAGTGCAGAGGCAGGCTGGTGGGTTGGACTTCCACCACTGTTCTTCATTTGTTGCTACAACTCACATTTCATCTCTATCTCCAGTGATCCTAGTTAGAATTCTTCTCTGAAACCTTCTAGCCTATAGCTAGGTTTTTCAGAATCCTAGGTATCAAGCTTTTCCTTCTTGTCTGGACTCATTTCAAGAGCCAGCCCACCCCACCAGCATGACAGAGCAGGAATTCCTGTTCTGGACTGCCTAATTGACCCCTGAGTATCTCAAGGGGCCACTAAATGACCTCACAGAGCACATAGCCCCTACTTACCCAGGTGCCTCTGTCTCTCAGAGAAGTAACTGGATCATAAGGGAGAGAGAAAGGAATGAGTTCTGCTCCTCGCCAGTATTTGCTAGAAGACTGCTCAGTGGTCTTCTAGAACTGCCAAAGAAAAGAGACCTCAGTTTGAGCCTCCCATGGAGGAAGAACAAAGCTGACAGTGGTTAGCCAGAGTTTCTGCACCACTTTGTAAATTACCATCCTAGCTATCACTCTGTCCAAAGATGAATCAGGACTATGGGAAGCAGTTTTTGGTGCCCAAAAGGTTTGAGGCTTGTGAAGCAATAGCCACTGTCCCTGGTTCCTGAATGCTGTTCCTTCCTAGAAGGAGTAGGATGATATGGGTATTTCCCGCTCTCTAGCAACTTATGCCAGTAAAAAGCAGTAAAATGACATGGCTGAGAAATAGTAGGAAGCACCCCAGCTCTACCAAGAATGCTTCTAAAAATTCCATGGAGAGAGTCTGTGAAATAGTGACTCCCTTAGTACCCCTTACAGAACATGGCGAGCTCAGAGTTAGGGCAGCCTGGCTCCCAGAGGGGTGGATCACCATACACTGGCCGCGGGGTCTGGAAGAATGGCAGAGCATCACTGGAAAATGAAAGGAGCTTAGAGAAGTCTTCAGATGACAACTGTCCATAAATTTCTCAGCCTTTGATGTCAGTGGTCTGAATTGAATCTGAACACTGGAGGGGCATGGGGGTGAGTAACTTGTGAAGGCCATGGACTGGGTAATGTCCACTCCACGGACATGATAAGGGTTAGTGTTCCTAGTCTCTCACGTGGACCTGGACCACTCAGCACATCCATCTGCCCAGGAAGGAGATTGGCTGGCACCAAGACTAAATGTAAAGGAGGTGGGTAAAACCAGAACCCAGGTCTGGACTAGAACCACCTCCCAGTCCAGTTTATTTTCTCTTCACCCCATAGCACTATCCTCATAACAGTGCTCTCTGGTCCACTGATCTGCTCAGCCCCCATATCAGACACCTGCCTCTGTGGGCTTTTTCATCTCACCCACCAGGGCCGACCCAAGGGTGTTTTTTCCAGTGCTTTCCCCAAGCCAAATTTAGACTCTGCAATTAGGTCTCCTAGGAGATGCTCAGAGTTCAGGGGAATTTTATATTTTCATTTTGTTTTTGTGGGTTTTTTCTTTACTTATCCAGATATATGTGCTCATCATGAGCCTCATGTGGCCAGGTAGTCTGGCCTGGCTCTTGGTGACCCTTCCCTGGAGGGCTGGTTCATGTTACAGAGGACCTCTGCTCAGAGCTGTGGTGAAGGTGGTCACTGACTGAGAAGCCAAGAGCTTCGGGGCATTCCAGCCCCAGGCACTGTCTGGCAAGTCAGTTCACCACCGCTAGCCATAGTGTCAGGAGAGAGAGTAACAGGTCTTAAGGATCCGGTGTAACATCACATTTAAAAAGAGGGGAGCAGCAGAAGGGCTCATAATAAAACCCATCTCAGATTATTTGGGAAAAATTGTTTTCTACAGAAGCGTCACCCTCCTCACCCTTAGGGTGGGGCTCTGCCTGGCCAAAGACAAGGACGTGATGCTATGCTACCGATGATAGAGAATAGGGATGAGAAATGTGCTCATCCAGAATTCTGCTGTCTTTCCCTTGATTTGTGCTGCGAGAAATGCTCTATAATGAGCCACTGGCCAACATGAGCCTGCAGACTGGCTGAGGTTCTTGCTCAGTATAATGATAATGGGACAGTGAATAGATTAGAGCCCAGAATTTGGGGGTCAGATAATCCAGGATTTGAACTCAATCCTTTCTGAGCTACTGGGAAAGTTAGTTATACAGCTGCTCTCCTACCTTCATCTGTAAAATGGGGGAAAATATGCCTGCTTTTCTATGTTATGAAGATAATAGAACAGTATGTGTGGAGACTTCAGACATCTAGGGAGTTCAATTAGTGGAGTTTCCTTCCTCTCTACCCTTTTGAGTATTTATAGAATAATTCCAGGAAAATAGAAAAGAACCCTTGATCCAGAGTCAGGATTCCCGCATTGGTCTCGACAACACTACCAACTCTGTGGGCTTCATGGTGCTGTTCTGGGGCTAAAAGGTAGTAAATGTGAAGCCTTTTGAAAAATAGCTCTGAACATACAAGGCATTATCTCCTGCACATATTTTTTTTTGTTCATCTGTCAAGACCTGCTGGTTGTAGCTGAAGGTAGGAGCTTGGTGCACTAAATGTACTAACCAACCAGGAGTTGGTCATATTTCCAAGTCCTGTATTAACTTCTAACAGCTGCTGTGAAAAACCACAAGCCTTGCAATTTAAAACAACGGAACTTCATTTTCTTGCAGTTTTGGAAGCCAGAATGTGAAGGCATCCCTAGGGCCAGACTTTCCATAAAGGCTCTAGGAGATAATCTCTCCTTCCTGCTCCAGCTTTTGGGAGTCTCAGGGATTTGTAGTTGCACAAAATCAATCTGCCTGTCTTCGTATGGCCTTCTTCATGTGTCTCTCTCTGTAAACTTTTCTATCTCTTCTAAAGTTATGCTTTTTGAATTTCGGGAATATCCTAATCAAGTCAGTATGATCTCTTCTTGTCTTTACCTTAATTACATCTGAACGACCCTTATTCCAAATGAGGTCACATTCTGAGGTTCCAGGTAGAAAAGAATTTGAGAGGGGATGCTCTTCAACACCCTCCAGGACCTCACATCATACATCTAAACATTTCTAACCTTCACTCGACTGAGCTACACTTTCACTGAGCTTTAGATTGCAATGAACAGTAAATCCTTCCAGACTACACCCAGAATTAGCTGGATGTGTGTGTGGAGAGGGGATTGTGGAAATGTAGTGGAGATGCCCTATAAAGAAGCTAAAGAAGAGTTAATTCTGGAAATGACAGGGCACATGAAACAGGAGACTGAGTGCGTCTCTGGGATGGAGAGTCTTGACCTCAATATATTGGAGTGTGCTTTCCAGTGGCTATGACTCCAGAGGCAAAAACATCAGTCTTGGAGTCAGACTTGGATCATTGTCTTTCCATTTGTGAAGCAGAGTTGATAATAAGACCTCCAACAAGGTGTTTCAAGTATTGAATTATGTGCCCTTAAAATAACATAGAATGGTCTTGCCTCAACCAAAAAGCTGAATCATAGGGGTCCACTCTGTACTGATATTGTTTCTGAACTGAGTAGTTGCATGGTATATATCAAAGCCACGTGAGGCAAAATGTATGAAAATATGAGATCTCTATATTCCTATTTCATTTAATTATATTCCATCTGCTATATTATAAATACAGAGAGCATCTCACTACTCTACCATTATTTGATTGATTAATTGATTGATTGCAGTACTGGGGACTGAACCCAGGATCTCCTCACTGAGCTACCTCCCCCTACCTTTTTTATTTTTATTTTTAGACAATCTCGTTAAGCTCTTAGACTGCTCTCCTGCCTCAGCCTCCCAGAGTGCTGGGATTACATGTGTACACCACCAAGCCCAGCTACAGATCCTCAGTTACTATGACAGTGGTGTGTGGTAAATGGTTAACAGCTGCCTTTCTGAAAAATAGTATATGTACACATACACATGCAAACATGAGTTTGTTATAAAATGTACTTACATGAAGGATGGTATAACATAATTTGCAAAATATAATGCATTGCATTTAAATGCACAATAACTTTTTTGTAAATTCCACACAGCCAACTGGTTCTCACAAATGTCTGTGTTTGTCCCAGCTTAACCCATATCCCTAGCCAACTTCCAGTTACTGATGAGTGTAGTTCCAACATGCATGTTGGTCAGTTCCCTTAAAGAAAAGTGAAATAACAAAGATGCAAGTCAGGACACCAGCTACTCATCAGTGATGCTAATGACTTCACTGAATCAAATGGGAGTTTTTGGACACTGGACAGTATTTCCTCATTTTTGTATCCTATTCACAATTTAAGGACCACAGTTATGGCACAAATGTCTGCATCACTATACTTTCTTTATCACTTTCTTTTTTTTTTATTTTAAAGATAAAAGGAGGGAAACATTAACAGACATACAACATTTTACAACATATCACAAGCACAATACAGACAATACAGAGTTACAGACAAAGTGGTAGGGAATTAACAATGGTGGTTGTATTACGTATTGATATCTTCAAATCACTTTCTTACATACAACCAACAGCACAACACAGTAAAGCTCTGGTTTATGTCATCTGCGAATTGCTGTGGGATTAACTCCCTCCAAGGCTGATTTTAAGCTCCTAACTTGACGTCATTGAGAAGAGAGGTGCAGTAATCTCTGACTTTATTTTCATCATAGAGATTCAAGAGGCACCTGTGACTTCAAGAGCATAGACAATGGTGATATCATAAAATAATGAGGAAGAGGGGAGTTCTGAAGTTGGATTCCCACTCTTTTAAATATAAACAATTAAATAAGTATAAACTTAAATAAGTTGTATTTAATTGTAAGTATGTGAAATTTTATTTTTGGTGGGGGGAGGAGGTAGTCAGGGGTGAACCCAGGACCTTTGCAGTAAGCTACAACCCCAGCCTTATTATTGTGAGACGGGCTCTCACCAAGTCGCTAAATTACCCAGGCTGGTTTGAACTTGCAGTTGTCCTACCTCAGCATCCCACAACGTTAGGATTACAGGTGTGAGCCACCATCCCTGGCTGTGAAATTTGATTTATATAATTTTATAGTATCCATGTTTGTCAATGAGCATGCAAGAGTCTTGAAAACTTAACAATTGATTCTCATTAGTTGGTATGTGGTGCGTCTAACACACCACTGCTTAGTTGGGTATTGGCAGAAGGGGGCAGGGAAGGAGTCGGGGGAAAAGCCAGTTTATCTCTCTCGGCAGCTCTTGCCATCCTGAGGCCCTTGGGGAGCCCAGCAGGTGAATGACCGTGACCTGTTAAAACAGACACTGAAAACATTTAGCCTGGCCTTTCAAAGTCTCCTTATGAGCACTGGCAGTGGCAGTCCCTGTATGCCATTCTTATGGCAGGGTCTTTCTTCTGCCAATTCTAGCACCTTCTCCTCAAGAAAAAGATAGGCAATCCAGGAGGTCACTCTGGTCCCTGTTCCCCACTCCCACCAGGTTTCTGCCAATGATCTGCACTTGCCCACATGCTCTTTCTCTTGGACTGTGGCACCAGGACCTGACTGCACACAGAAGTATTTTCTGAAGTTGTGGAACAAATCAGAAGAGGCCCATCACCGCACCAAAATCCAGTCATCTGAGTTCAGTTTTTGTTTTTTGTGCTGTTTTCGTTTTTGAGATGGGGTCTCACCATGTTGTCCAGGCTGACCTTGACCAAGTTCAACTTTCAATTACCAAACTCGTGGGGTAGTCTGACAAAAGCTTTTTTTTTTAAAAGCACTCTTTAAAAAGTTAACAGAGAACTGCCCAAAAAAGCTGTGACAGTCATTTCCTGAAACATCTCAGGAACGAAGCAGGGGAACCTTTCTGCCAGGGTTTGGCTGAGGTGACCAGATAGCCTTTTTCTTGGCTCCCATGGGCGAAGTTCCTGACATGTGCGTGCTTCTTGAGAAGAACAAAGTGATTTAAGGCCTGAGTCAAGATGAGCAACCCTCAAGACACTGGCAGAAAAAGCCCCAGTGAGACAGGAAGCTGGTTTAAGATCCTGCTGGTTTCTGATGTGTGAACTAGACGGCAGAGGCAGCACTGCTGACACGGAGCTTGCTTCTGCCGGGGCACCTGTGAGTGGGGCTGAGTCCCACAGCCAGGGCCCTTGTCTTCTCCTCCCTGGCTGATGGATCCCAAGGGGCTCCTCTCCCTAAGCCTTCTGCTGCTTCTGTCTCTGGTTTTTCATCTGAGTGAGGCGACAGGTGAGTGTTTATTTGTTTTAAGGGCTGGAGTCCTGCAATAAGCTGCCAGCAATCAGCACGGCCTAAGGGATGTAGGGAAGATGCACAGCTTGCCGACAGTGATTCGGCTGCCTCTTCCTTAGGGACTGACTCTGAGTTTCCTCTGCCCCTTTCAAAAGCGAAGGGGAACCGTGAGCTCCGGGGTCCTTGGGTTCCAAAGCCCAGATCATCAATCCTGGCTTCAGAAACCAGGAGTTGCACACAAAGGTACCTGTTACACCACTGGTTGAAGTGGTGCTTGTGCAGTTGTCGTGTGGGCATCCTGGCAAAGACTCAGGCTAGCAGGTCTGAGCTGGAGGGATGGAGCTCTAGAAGAAGATGTGCCCTCATCCTGGCCCTAGAAAGGAACCTTCACACATACCAACAGAAAATTCCAAACACAGTCTAATGACTACAAAGGCAACAGCAAGGGAAGAGCGGTAGAAGTGAAAACCCCATTGACAGAGAAGAGGCAGTGACTACAGGGTGGTTGTATTGGTGGCTACTTTCTGGGAAGAGAAGATTCCACCTTAGCAACATGGGGAGAGATTGGGATTTCTGGAGCCCAGGGTTGGTTACAGAATGTGGAAAATGCAAACCAGGAACCCTCAGGCTCAAAGCGACTCCAGCAGTAGGGACTGGCTGGCAGCAGAGTGATTTTGGAGCGGCACTCTGCTCCTGTCTTTCCAGCTCATCTTCCTCCCAAGGCAAGCTGTTGTTCTCTGTTTAGTAACACCAGGCTTGTGAGCAAAGCTATTTAAAAAGACAAAGCCAAACAAGACATGGGTGCTGGGATGACAGTGGGAGTGGGGTGAGGAGCTTGCTCTGTGTACATGTCTTGAGGCTTTGGTTAGGTGGTGGGAGGCAGCCTGGAGCAGACATGGCTTAGAAAGGGGGGAAAATCCTGAAGCCAAGGGTGTTTTAGGCTTGGGGCTTTCAAGATTGCAAATCCATTATGGACTTTTCCAGGAAAAGCCCCAGCATATGCCAGAGATGTGGCATCTTTTCATGGCATCGCTCTCTTTCCAGAGTCTCAAATGGAGAGGTGCTTGTGAGCCTCACTTTCCTTTGAAACTGGCACATGTGCAGCTCTTACCTGCTGAGTCTAGAAGTCAGAGAACCAAGCTCAGGGATCAGAACAGGGAGCCAAGGAGAGATAATCCTTCTTTATTGAGCCGCACTTGGAACTTGGCATACTTGGCATACTTCTTGGTTACTGTAAGGAATGGTGGGACCGAACTGTGTGCTGGATTACCCTGTCTTTGCACTTGCTTATTGCTGGCCCGTCCTGCCCTTGGCAGCTGAGGCCCAGGTGACAGCTGCTCTGTGCTGTGGTGGCCACTTGTTAGTGAGGAGCAGCCCAGCCCCCAGAAGGAAGGTCTACCCAGCTGGCAGCCACTCCCTTCCTTGCATCCTAGCTTCCAAAATATGTTCAGAAATATTCAGTGTTTTTATTTTTAAACACACAATTTCATCCTCTTCTAAGCAAAAATTTTAGCATCTATATTTAAATATGTAATTTCACCCTTCTAATGCAAATTTTTATTTTCATTTTTAAACATGTAATTTCACCCTTTGTGAAACCCCAATAAACCCCAGATGGAAGTGCTTTGCAAATGGGACGGTCAGTCATGACATGTTTACCCAGCCAAGTGGCTTGGTTCTTGTAAAATCAGCGCCCACTCCCCTTCCTATCTCTACTCAGCTCAGTTTCCAATTCCCTCTCAGAACTGTAAAACTCAGAAAGTCCACCTGTCCCTTCCCCCAACAAAGCAAATTTCTCATTTCCCCCAGTGAGAACTTTTATCCCACCCTCCAAGTCCTCTTTGCCCCGTTGACGCACACGAGGTGAGAGGTGAGGGACAAGTTCTCGACTTCACCCAAACTCATGTGCCCGTCGCCAGTTTCATGTCAAGATGGTGGTGTAGGCAATTCTATTTTTTAAAAGGTTTAATTCTGTGGTGTGAGGCCCTCATTTTCCCTGTCTCCAGCACTTATCAGAACATCGGGGCCATGTGGTTTTACCCATAGATCGACTTTAGACAGTTCCACTCAGTAACAATCTAATAAGAACACATGCTATGGCAAGCACTTACGTAAGGTATAGATAAGGCAAAATGAACAGCCGTAGCCTGTGCTCAGCCTCTGACACGTTGTCTGGGATTTGAAAGCCCATCTATAAGTCTTTTGAATAAATAATAATAGTATGTACTGTGCATATGCTATATACCAGATACTGTTCTAAGTGCTTCATGTATATCAGTTTTATAATTATTACACCAACCCCGTAAGACTTGTACTATTGTTTCAATTACAACTTTATAAATGAGGAAAGGGACACATAGAGTAGTTTAGCAATTTTGCTGGGCTCGGGGAGGCTGACTCCAGAAGTCTCAGTGAATAAAATTGGATAAGCCTATGTTTACAGAGTAGGAAGGATGTTACAATAAGTATCCAGGTCCCATGATAAAAATTAGAATGTATCATGTATAATTGAAGCCTATGAGATGAATTGCATGGAGGAGAATTAAAGTATAGAAATTTTCCAAAAGTGAGAGGCATTAATGGAATCAGGAGAAAGTACAAGGCATAAAAGAGTATCTGTTCTGGAGTTTGGAGAGTAGACAGAAACATTTTTCATCATGCCAGTTTTCATTTAACTTTCGTGAACTATTTCGTTGGAAGAGTATCCCATGTATAGAGTGAAGACTAACTTCTCTTCCACATCTCTTGCTGGAAGCAGCCGTGTTATGAGTTTCTTGTGTGTATTTCAAACACTTAGGTTGAGGTAGATTGGATTTTTATAGGACTTGAAGAAGAGTATTTTAGATGGAGGTGCACAGGCAGAGCTAATATGCTGCCTGTGCTAGGATGAAAGGCAGTAGTCTGTTGTACCTGAAACCTAAGTTTCGTAGCTAGGTCCTCACTTGGGAAGAGGGACATCATTTTCCCCACACAAAATCTCTTAGGATGTTATAACGATAAAGCAGAGTATATTCTGATTGTGGAGAGACAGTGGAGAACTTAGACTCTGTGTGGTCATCCAACACATTTCATTTTATTCTTTTATGTGGGCAAAAAAGGATTTCCTGAGTTTCTACGATGTCACTTGTAAGTGGGATTTTAGGAATACAACAGTGGGTACAACAGATACCATTCCTATGGTTGGGAGCTTATCACTGAGTGAGGATGGGGGTATTAAACCAGTTAAAAATGTACGTGACAGGAGAGATGTAAACTATGTTGGTGGTGTGTGTTGGAAAAGCCGACCTAAGCCAGGAACCAGGTCAGCCTTCCCTCAGGGAGAGATGTTGGTGGAGACCCAAAGAGATGTCTGTGGAGATGCAGGCTCATCCCGCTTTGAGGCCAGCAGGCAGCAACTGCAATTAACCTAAGATGAACAGACCTACCACTTGCAGCAGCCGCAAGGAATTAGAATATGTGTTTGACTGATGGGTGTGTTATCAAAGCAAGCTTAGACAAGTTATCTTTTCTTACTGGCTTAAATGTGCCATAAGAACTGTGGGGCCATTGAGCTTTATCTTTCCTAACTGAAAAGTTCCTATAGCAAGTTGCTAAAGGCACATATGAAATAATAGGACTAAGCCTTCAAAAGGAAAAAGTTATCATTCGGTAGAATCCCATCTTATGAAAGGGTTTGCTAAATACTACAAATTTCAGACCAACACTCGTGGGTCTATGTGAATCACTCTTCTTTTGAAGCAGAATTACCCATTTACCCATGAAGGAAAGTGAGTTGGTGTTAACAGCTATATATGTTTCTTCCCAGATGTTTTGTAAACAGGGGCTGACTGAATCACAGACCCACTGGAAAACACTCATCAGGCAGTGAGGTGTTTCAGGAGCAGGGACTCCACTTGAAGTGTTTGATGAACCACTTTAAAGCCCCACTTATTTTCCACTTGTGCTTGGGTGGGGATGATCGCAAGTATGCCCTCTAAAGCAGACCATTCACAGCCACAGAAATTGCATCACTGTCCTTCATGTGGGTAGTGAGGTGTTGGGGGCTCCGCGTGGTGATGTTGGTATTGCACTCCCCACATGGGAAACCCACTCAGCCTCTCCTCATCCTCCGCTTCCCTTTTCCTTTCACTTTCCCTCCTGTTCTCTTTCTCTAATTTGTTTTTGTTTTTTATTTTTGCTTTTTGGATACTTCTGTTTCATACTATATCCATTCTCCTTCTCCCACAAACTTCATGTTTGGGTAGCGGTCATGGTACAAATGGTCTTCAGAGTTCGATGGGGGAAAGGGCACATGGGAGACATTTGGGAGAGTAAAGGGTTGTAGTCATAAAACTGGAACAATTTATACTGCTTTTCCCCCTTCTGTATTAAAACTGGTCTTTTAAAAACAGCAGTACTATCATGATTCTTAATTTTTAAAAAAATCTCAGATCTCTTTGAGAGATGACATTTTCAGAAGTGCTCCCAGAAAATGTACATATGTTTATCAACCCGACTTTGAGTATACAAGTTCAGGGAGTCCATGCTTGCACTTGGGCCTTTCAATTTCCTCTTGTTCCTTGACAAATAAAAGTTTAGGTTCAGGACTTGAGATTCTCTCTCCCTCCTTCTTCTCTCTCTCTCCCTCCTTTCCTCTCTCCCTCCCTCCCTCTTTCTCTCCTTCACTCCCTCTATTCCACAAATCATATGTGTGGCCACCAAAGGAGCCACATTATCTAGACACCCAGGCGTTTCTAAGTGTGGATGGATGAAAATACAGTGCACGTCCCAAAGTGTCTAAGTAAAAATGACAACCCCCAAGCTCTGTAACACCCCTCATCTCATCAAGCAGTGGGGGTTAGAACTCTTTTTTGAAGTTTAATATATTAGTGATATTGAAAAGAACAAATGTCTAATCACCTTTTGCAATTTTCTGTAACAGTTATGTGCCTCAACCACCCTGATCCTGATTTTAGCCTGGGGATGTCCCTTTCTCTTTCCACAATGGCTGATAACTAGTTAATATTAGTTGAGCGCTTTACTGGACGGTGTGAGGATTTCAGGGCATTGTGGTATCAAGAATAATTTGGTCAGCTTGCCAAGTTTTCCAACCACATCTTAACTATTGTCAATTGTGGCGAGGTCTCTTCTAAGCAGACATGTTACTGAAGCGGACAATTCTATTTTACTCTTCTGACTTTCTTATCAGCGAAGGAAATCTATGCTTCCTCTGAGTCATGGGCTCCTTTTATGAATTCTATCTGATGGCTAAATTCAGTTATATACAAGTTAGGCAAAGCCAAGTAAGAGATTGGCCAGGTAACATGGTTTTCAGCATTCATATATGGAACAAATGTTTATTAAAATCCTCCTTCTACCAAGCATTGTTGTAGGTCCTGAGGACAAAACAGTCATGGAGAGAATGTTTTCCCTCTGGAGAGGATTGCGTTCAAGTACAGGAAACAAAAATAGAAGTAAAAACATCAGGCAGTGATGAGAGCCATGGGGTGGATTTAGATACATGGTCACGGAGGTCTTTCAAGGGAGATGTTATTTTTTTATCAGAACTCTAAAATAAAGCAAAGGCATGAGTTATCTGGGTACATAAGAGAGGAGGGCCCCAGGGAGGGAAGCGACAAAGCTAAACACTCTGAGATAGAAATGTTCGAGTTTAAGGAAGAGCCCAGCATTAGTATGGCCAGGATGGGGTGAGCACAGGACAGAGGGCAAGGAATAGAATTGGAGAGGTCCCAGGGAATAGGAATGCAGAATGTTTGAAGCTGCATCAGGCAAAGACTGTGAACTTTACTCTGTGAGTGCCAGAAAGCCCTAAAAGCAGGAGAGATGTGAAATTCGACATGGTTTCAAGGGATCACTGTGTCCGTTGCACAGATGCTGAGAGATGAGTTAGAAGACGACGGCAGTGCCGAGGCCTATGAGGTAGGAGTGAAGGAGGGGTGAATTGCTCAGATGTTGGTATTAACTGTGGTGACAGGTCCCGAGAACAAGGTGCCCATGGATGAAAAAAGGAAAGTAGAAGAGATAAGAAAAACAGGAGAGCTAGAAGTCTGGGATCAGGGGGCCCACAGCCTCTGGGACTGCAGCCCCAATCATTCATCTCAATCGCCTTTTATTAAAACCAAGCACAAGGGGCTGGGGATTTAGCTC